CTTCCTTCTCTGCAGAAGGCCCTACAGCCTTGGCTACCCACTCCGCAGTGGGTTGCGCTGCCTAGCTTTGGAGATCTCCTCCACAGGAGATCCTAGTTCCACCGCTTGGTCTTCTCCTCTGTCGGAAGTTGCGCTGCCTTGGCTCCCTTCTCCGCAGAAGACTCTACCGCTTTGGCTATCCGCTCCGCAGTGGGTTGCGCTGCCTCACCCCGGATTCTTCCTCTGCAGGAAGCCCTACTTCCATTGCTCGGCTTTCTCCTCTGCAGAAGCCCAATCTATGCAGCCCTCTGGATTCACTGCCAGATCAAGCCTCAAGAATGTTAGGAGTCCTTCTCCAGTATAGAATCCACTCTGTGTTGGGGAACTCCAGCAGTTTCACCTGGGTTGCCTGGGGCAAATCTTTGTTGCTTCGGCTTCCTTCTCCACAGAAGGCCCTACTACCCTAAACCTCAGCAACCCGTGATCACATGCATATAGCACTGCTGTTCGGATACTGTATCTCGTCCAAACCAAGAGGCCTCTCTGGTTCGATCTTCCCCCAATAGAAGCAGTAGCTTAAGCCAGCTAGGGCGATGCTACAGGGCCGAGGGAAGATACTCCAAAGCACCTAAAGGCTAGGCACAGAACCGATACTACACTTGATCTTAGCCAAAAGGCCAAGAAGCGATCAGCTAGATTTGATCTCTATTCGAGTCTTCAACAGGTTTTGCTGTAAATATTCTAGAGATACTGATAGAGACTGAGTCACTGGGATTACAGAGAGTAACAGGGTAGAAGGTGTGAGAACCTGCTTTATATCGGGGAAGCACAATGTGGACACTGGGTGGCCATTTACAGGTGTGGCAGTAGGTCGGGCTCCCTGATTGGCCAGGTATGGGTGTGTCTACTGATATGTAAATTACAATGTATTCTCATTACTTTGTGCTAACTGACAAAACCAGAGAAGTGAACAATATGAATGGAACAGTTTTTGTGTAGAAACCAAATACAAGACTAAAGTTATAATTCATTATCCGATATCTATCTAGTATCAAATCCTTATCTTCACATTAATATATCACTCTTTATATCAGGTTCTAACATTATCTTAAAATAAAGTTAACCAAGGATAGTCAATAGAAACTATTTGAACTGTTTGAAATTTAGTTTGGAATCCCCACTCATTCATGTAAGGGTTTGGCTTAATATCTAATGGAATGTTAATACCTGAAGATTAAAATAAATTTGTATATTTAAAGAACTGTCTAAACTTTGTATATTTTTTGAAATATTTTACATAGATAACCTTGTGGTTTTGAAAACATTTACCCTGTATTTAGGAATATTAACACACATTTTATTACAATAGTGTATACACACCCCAATATGCATAAATGGCAGACTATGAATTATAATGTCCTAGTATTTAGTATCTGGTTTAAAAAGTGTGTAGATATTTATTGTTTGATATGGTAAACCCGAGAACTGGGATAAACAATAGTTCTATTTAATCTTTCTAACATCCCAATTGTGTTATGTAAAGGGTTTGGGTGTGTTATAGAAACTGGTAGAAAATAACCATCTTTGTCCACCAGGGGGCAGATCTACATAAAAAGGTGAGTGGCATTTTCTTTCCTGATCTGCCATATGGTCTCAAAGGCAACATAGGCCCAGCAAACCAATCTTGCAAATTTCAATGGGCAAGATCTTTATTTGCTCTCTAACTTTCCAAAACACCATAACAAGAGGAGAGCGGGGGGCATCATTGTACCCATGGGATATCACAACATACAAATGTGTGTTTTATTGCAGTAAAAGCCAAGAGTTTTATGACATTACCTGTAAAAATGCCATGCAGAACTTTGATAATTGCAACATTTCCTAATTTCTCATTTTTATTCATTTTATATAGTTCCATATATAAATACTTGATGTGACATGAAAGCCCTGTTTTCCCTGAACAAAATGATATACAATAAGTATGGGTGCACTTAATATGAAAGAGGTGAATTACGGTTGAACAGACATATAGTCAAAGTCCAGGTTTTGTTTTTGTACAATTACCTCAGTCCTTAATGGGTTAAAAGGACACAATAATTACCTATTTCCTTCAATTTAGGGTTTCCCTGACAATATTTATTTTGATCCAAAGTTTTCATAACTAAAACATTTTTTAACCCAAATTCTCCAGAAACATGAAGTTCCAGAAACCAATCAATTCGGCAGAACAAAATCAATTCGGAAAAAACCCAAAATGTTTCACCACATACAAGTCTGTTGTTTCATGATAATGTACTTCTTAACAGCAAGAGATAGCTAAACAGTAGGTTAACACAGCCTTAACATTCCTGAAAACAGAAACTAATTTAACTTGAAAACAACCAGAACCATTAAATGATGAAATCATAATCGCACTCCTTAAACCATCCTATGTCTCTTAATCTTAAAGAAAGATACAATCCCAGGGGTGACATTTCACATGCAAGGGCTAGCTTTCTACAATTTTTTTTAAAATCCCAATGCTTGTAAGGCATTGTTCCTATTTAATGATTGTATCATATTAGATAGGTTACAAAGAGCAGAATTAATATTATTTAACTTGCTAATACACTCAGCACTGCTGCATTTTGGAAATCCTTCTGCATAGCCAGCTTTACCCTTTCCTAAAGTCATCCATATCATCTGAAATTGATAAGCGCAGATGAAAGTAATTTATCCTTATTGTTGGTCCATGGGCCAAGGCAGGGAAGAGCTATCCACCAGCTTCCTCCTCTTCGACAGCATAGCCACCTCCTGCTGTTTCTTTCTGCACATTACATTTTCCAGCCAATGCTGAGCTGTTTGCCAGTCTTCTTTAGCTCCTTTGACTTCTTATCCACATGGTGTAATAAATTTTACACACATACAACGTCCTCCAGCCTATCATGATAATGCAGCTCCTTCTAAATGGACCGCTCAACCTTTGGAACATTGTTTCATGGAGAAGGGGATAGAGCAGCAAGCAGGCATGTTCCTAACCAGTTGTGTCCTCCATGCTGCCTCTTCCAAAGGATGGTCCATCTTCAGCCGAAGACCAAGAATAGGCAGGCAGTGGTGATTATAGTGCATTGATTAGCTCTGAGCGCTGACTCAGCTTCAAGCACCGGTCAGCAAAAACAGGTCAAACTGTCAAACTGGTACCCAAACATTCTGAACTTGTGCTAAATACACCCGAGCCAATAAAAATGTAAGTTATCTGCAGAGTCACACACCTTGAACTAGTAAAAACCGTAATAACTTAACTCAATACGGACTGAACCTAGCAGGGCTGCGTGTGATGTTTGTGGGCATAAATCCCATAGCAGTTTATACTTTATTTGAAAATGAACCCTAAAAAGACTCTTAGTCCAAGAAACTTGGAGATCTTTAAGACATATAATTACTCACCCAATGCACATTACCCAATGCACAATGCATGAGGCACTTACAAACATCCTTTCCAAAAAGGTATGTTGCCTTTTACCATCTGCTGATTTTTTTTCTATCCTTTCTTCTCTTTTCTATCCACCTCTTTTCTCTCTTTAGTTCTATAAAACAGTCGCTCTTCTGTTGGACACATTTTCCACACACATATATACTACATCAATGAAAATATTAATCAAGCTTTTATTACAATAAATAATGACAGAATAAATAAAATAAAAAATGACAGATGTTAATATGTTTACTCCCGCAGAGTCCATCCTTTTCTGCCTCAATGTTCAAATCCAGTCGGCCACCCAGTCGAAATCTTGGAACAGGTCTTGGTCTTCTAACGGTGATTCTTCCGGTGGTGTTAGAATGGGGTCCAGTGTTGTAAAAGCTTTGTCAAAATGACTGACGTCCTTTGGTCCGGCAATGGATGGTACAAACGAATTTATAATATTCTTAAAAAGTAACGCACTCCAGTCGACTCCCTGTTAAAAAATAAAAAAGATTGAAGAAAAATTAGAAAAATAAATCAGGTGTGCCACGATATAAACCAGTAAACTAATAATATAGAACAATCAACATTATATCTACACATCCATAGATGGAATTTATACAACATAGACATACTTTGAAAAAAGGATGTTTCTTGACAGCACTGGCACCAATCCTGGCTCCTAGACGGGATCTGGAATTTTTATTCATAAGCTGCATAAGGGGGGAGGAGAAATGAAAATGTTATTTAATCTGAAACACTGAGAATTAAAGGCATTTTCTTGCAGGTTCTGTAAGATCTGCCTTTATGAGCTCAGGCAGAATATTTACTACAGAGCTCAATACACAGTAGGCACCATGTCACAATGGCATCGTGTTTGGTGCCCAGACATTGCTCTGCCCTGATCAATGGGACAAGTCATGCTTACTGCTTGTATTTATTTAATTCCCCAAATATAAGTTTAACTTCTTTTAATCTCTAACTAGACCAATGTATTTGTGACTGCTTGTCCTATTTTGTTACAGCCAATCACACAGTTTTTACAGAGGACCAGCTGTGTTTTCAGAGCCTTACCACTCAAGCTGTCCAAGCCCACATTCACACACAATGTTAGCAGCTACAACAGAGCGGAACAGGCGGGGGCACGCATCAATCGACCCACAGAATGAAACGTGTCTGTTCTATGGAGCAATGTGCATAATTGATAAAAGTAAAATTCTTCATATAAAAAAAGGAAACAATATGATTCACTCTTTGTAAAATCCTTCCAAACCTCCCCCAATGCCTTGACCCTTTCCGTATACCTTATATGTCACTTTCTAACAACTGTCAAAGTTCAAACAAGGTGATGGGTTGTATGATGTAAGACGCTGAGCTGTGATGTCATACATCATTAAAGCCATACGAGCGGTACTGTTTAGAAATAGAGCTACATGCAGGATCTTTAATCCTGGAGCTTCCAAGAGCTATAAAACCCACCGTCTGCTTATCGCTTACCAGATGTAACTACTAATCTAACAGCTCTCAGACTTCCTTCATCCCAAGGCAGCTCGTCAGCAATCCACTCATCAACAGTGATTGCAAATTCTGACCTCCGCTTACTCAATATGTCAAAATCAGAAATCACTAAACATGCGTTGGCAACTTACACTTTTTATTATTGAAAACGCTTCTACAGACAGGAACTCCGGATAGTCAGGTTCAGTGTTAACTACCTTATATGATATCTCTCTCTCTCTGTCTTTACCTTTAAAGGGAAACTAATAGAAAAAAAAACATTTTAGATGCATATTGTAAGATGCAGAAGTTCGTTTTTTGTGACAAAATATTTATTATCCTGCTAGAAATTGTCACACACATAAAATAACCACTCAATGATATATACTGCAATGAGGGTCATGAAAAAATGAAAAAACAACTTATTGATGTAAACCATAAAACACTGTGGCAAGATGACAATAGTGTTTATAGCACTCACACTCCTGAGAGCCCATAATCTGCTCTGTGTAAACGGCCCACACAGAGAGGGCACATGGTCTTCTCAAACTGTGCCCACTGTGCAGGGTTGGCCTAGAATCTACAGTGGGTAATTTCTCTAATGTAAATGGTTTTCCAAAGCAGAAACAATAAATGAAATATAAAGAAATTGAGAAAGTATTAAAGAGATAAAATCAGTTTAGATAAAGTGGAGAGGGAGGTATTGGGTTATGATATTTAGATAAGCACTATAATGAGCTGAAGTGGTTATGGTGCTCAGCTTGTCCCTTTAACCTTGACCAGTCTATAGTTTGAAATACTATCAGTTTCATCAATAGACTGGATGACATCACACAAGGATTTTTGGTTTCCTAAGAAGGAATCCTACAAATTGGTAAAAATATGCTATACCTACCCTTCCACACAGCATGACATAAATTACTACGCCCAGACTCCACCAATCAACAGATCTTGTATATGGTTTTCTCTCAAATATTTCCGGCGCCATGTATTCCAGTGTGCCACAGAAAGAGTCGGTTCTATCGATGAATCCCATCCCTCGTAAATAGAGAGAGTATAAATGTACATCGGTAAAGACACAGATAGATGTAGGTTTATTTTGCTGCTATACAGTATGTTACAGTATATTATTTTTAATAATTTCATGTAATTTGTTTCCAATTGATATTAGAAAATTGCTGCAAGGAGTCAGTGTGTTGTATCTGCAGATTCTCTGTGAAATTTCGTACAAATTTTTCAATGGTTTTTACGAATCTGTATTATGTTCCAGCATCTACTCTGACTAGTGTTCCAACCTTGCCTCCCACTGGATATGAATTTGTACAATGGCCCCTTATTTCATTTTACAACAATATTTGATTTCATTCCTTTGTGTTTCATGTATACTTTTATTTTGGTCTGCAGTTGGATGTTATTTGTATGTGGCTAATGTTACATTCTGTAACTTTGTGATAAATTACTTTAGCTAAATATAACATTATTTTTACCTTGTTTGCTAAGACCAAAGTCGGTAATTTTGGCGTATCCGTCCTTGTCTACAACGATATTCCGCAATTTAAGATCTCTAGATTAAAATATAGAATTTGAGTTTTTATTATTTTTTACATATCACTAAAGGGTACTTGGATTACATGGTTTTCTTATTTAGAATAAATAAAAGGTTAGATTTAAGGACGTATATAATTTATGATAAAGTTAACATAATAATATTACTAATTACTGTAATTAAGCCACAGACAATATTTTAATGGCAGTACAGTAAATAAGACAGATAACATTTCTGGGAACAATATGTGTATGTCCATCTTTAGTTTTTCCTGTACACTTACCTGTGAGCAATCTTGTTCTCATGTAAAAATTCGAGGCCGAGCACACAACAGGCCGCATAAAACCTGTAGAAAATAGAATAAATCTGTTTTATCTTGGGGAAGGAAATAGAGTTTTTGTACCATTGGACAGTTTAATTGCACCAACCTCTGTCACTCTATGCTCAGACATATTTCCTGCATTGTCTTGTGTCTGTCTAGGCTTCACTGATAGTGATGTCCCAAACGGTTCACCGAACGGTTTGCCGAATGGTTCGCGAACGGTTCACGAAAGGTTCGCCCGAACGGTTCGCCACGAACGGTTCGCCACGGACTCATTATTGAGTAAACTTTGACTCTGTACCTCACAGTCAGCAGACACATTCCAGCCAATCAGCAGCAGACCCTCCCTCACAGACCCTCCCACCTCCTGGTCAGCATCCATTTTACATTCATTGTGAAGCTGCATTCTTAGTGAGCTGTCCAGGAGGTGGGAGGGTCTGGGAGGGAGGGTCTGCTGCTGATTGGCTGGAATGTGTCTGCTGACTGTGAGGTACAGAGTCAAAGTTTACTCAATAATGAGTCCGTGGCGAACCGTTCGTGGCGAACCGTTAGCGAACCGTTCGGCGAACCTTTCGGGACATCACTATTCACTGAACTTGTAGTCCAACTTAACTTTTGTTTGGAGTTCTGGCTGGGTGATCATAATCCCCAAACTATACTTACATAGCTCTGCTTTCTGTAAAAGATGCCATGTTGTTATTAAGAGTTGACATTAGGTCTCCACCAGCGGCATATTCCATCACAAAGCAGACAAGATCTTCAGTCTGGAAACTTGCGAACAAATTCACAAGGAATGGGTGTCGTATGCGGCTTATGGTCTGAAAGATGTTCTTCTCATATTTAAGACTTGAAAATAAAAACGGAATAACTAAATTAATCACTTTTGCGAACAACAAATAGGACTACCATCCAAAATGTTTCCATTTTAAGTATTCTCCATCCACTGACCAGTCAATAGAATCAGATGCAATTATCTTTCGTTTTTTCAGGACTTTCAGGGCGAACATGGTGTTTGTACCTTTGTAGTCAACAAGTAGAACCTGAACATTAAAAAATATATATATATTTGTTAGATAACATTTGTTTAGACACCTTTTATTTCTCACTAGAATTGGAATTTACCCGAAACCCACCTTTCCAAAGTGTCCTCTGCCCAGCACAGAGAGACATTGGAAATCCTCGAGGCTCAGTTGTACTCCTAGCTGAATGCTGCAAAGAAAATATATTTTTTTTCATATTTATCGTTACTCATATAGCCCCCATCCTGATGAAAAAACAAATACCCAAAACAACATGCTCCTATAACACACAGTATAAGTTATCATACCGTGGGTCCTGAGACTGTTCCAGATCTTGAAGGACACTGTTTTCCTGATTGGACACTCTGCCATCATGTAGAGGTGTATTACATGGCACTTGGTTTGAAGTGTAGTTCCTAGAATAGTGTTGGCCTGCTCCATAATCCTGGAAAAGAAAATTAAACATTATTAATAACAACGTTTCATTAGTGCTTGTTGTAATAAAATAATTGAGGATCCAATTTATGTACTAAACCCAGAATTTAAATATGTCCATGATTTTATAGAAAACATTCTACACCGAGATTGCAATTATTCCATGTTCATCAATAATGCAGTTTGTGCTAAAGCAGAACAAAAAAACAAAATAAGCAAGGTATAAAACGTTATATCTTTACCTGAGACAGAATATCTGGGATTATAACATGAAGTCCTGGTTGATAGCTGCAAAAAGATGTACGATATGCAACAGGAGACTCTTCTGGTTCAGATTCAGTGTCCGATGATACTACAGGAGAAACGCTTTAAGAAGGAAGAAAACAGTATTTATTTAGATGGCACCTTTTAGATCTGATATCATCAATTCTTTATAGTCAGAGTGTCTTAGTGGAAAATTCTGTAGCATCCAGTGCAATGTTAAAGGGATTCCCCTGGAATATCTATCACTAGGGTTGTAGATTGCCATGTTTTATAGGACACGATGATTATGTATTGTGTGAAATCAATTGATTAATTACAGATGGAATCACAAAGGACCTGCCGTGATTAATTACTGTATTTCACTCTGGTAACAGGTGAATTCCACATTCTGCTGGGAAGAACTTTCAAGTCCCGTCATAAAAAATGTAATTCATAAACGTTCTATAAAAATATTTCGCTATGGTAAACTTACTTGTTACCAACAAACTGTAGACAATGTTAATAAGCATGCTGGGAATTGGGCAGAAAAAATGTTTACTGCCTTAACCTCACCCATCTTACTCTCACACGCAAGTTTTTGTGTACATAAAGAATAACTTTAAGCTTATTACATAAATAAAATGTAGTGAGGGGTGGTAAAGGGGAGAAAATAAGGAGTTTATGGTAAATGTGTAGCCGTTTTAACAGCATTGATGAGAAAGATGAATATGTGAAAATACCTAATTGACCATAATGACTCTTGGCTCCCAGTGTTAAACACTGACAATGGAAGAACGTCAATAGCTCCATCCTCTGACACCGATTGGCTGGTCTCTTGTGATTCAGTATTGTCAGTGGGTGGTGATGACTCCACGCTCTCAGTGTCAAATACTGGCAATGAAAGACTGCCAGATATTATATCCTCCTCAGATACTGAGTGGATAGTTTCTTCAGTATCGATATCGACAGCGGGCGGTGATGGAACCACGCTCTCCGTGTCTGATACTGGCAATGGAAGACTACCGGATACTTTCTCCTTCTCAGATGCTGATTGGATAGTCTCTTCAGTATCGGTATCGACAGCGGGCAGTGATTGAACCACACTCTTCTTGTCCGATACTGGGAATGGAAGACTGCCATATATTATATTCTCCTCAGATGCTGATTGGATGGTCTGTTCAGTATCGTTAGTGACAGTAGGCAATGATTGAACCATGCTCTCAGTGTCCGATACTGGCAATGGAAGAACGTCAGATGTTATATCCTCCTCTGATGTGGACTTGATGGTTTCTTCTGCATCGGTATCGACAGCTGGTGGTGATGGAACCACGCTCTCAGTGTCTGATACTGGCAATGAAAGGACATCAATAGCTGTATCTTCCTCTGCAGTGGGCTGGAAGGTCTCTTCTATAAAAGTAATACAGAACAAAATATAAGTATTGTATATGATCAGTAGTAAATATATTAATTATATTCATAGCATTCCAAAAACAAGAAAAAAAAGTAACAAAATCTCCAAACCTAGAACTTTGTTTCAGCCAAGATTTCCATATTATAATAACCATGACTCACATTTAATACATTGAAACAATGTTTAGTGTTTAAGAGGACTGGCATCCAATGAAAATAATGAGCTTCAGGTAGGTATAAGTAATGTAATCTGTGTATACTGCATATGGTATAAGATGTACATCCTGCGCTATGGTTGTTATAATGGATGAACATGTATCAGTCTATCTACCTGTAAGAAAATGAAATGTGAAATCCCACACTGGTTACTGAGCACATTCACACTGCTTAACAAGTTTTCTATCACATGGGGGGCTAGTACTGGGGTACAAGGGTTCACTTCTTGTCAGTAACCAAATAATAATCAATTCTGCCTCATAGATGCCTTTAAAGGCCCCTGGGCGGTTTGCTATTTAATGCGAGACATGTTAAACGAACACTTACCTTGTTTTTTGGAGAAGAATTTCTGAATTGTCTGAAGTTTTGGCCTTTTCTGGATGGAAGCATTGGAAAATGTCACCTATTTCAAAATAAAAAACAGCGGGAAGGAAATGATCATATTCTCATTGTGCCAAACCAACATATAAACACACAAAAATGGAAAATAAACAGCTTCAAAACTCTTCCTCTACAGCTAATCACAATAAGCAAAGCCCTTCATTTACTTAAACAGTTTAGCATTTGATACAGTGTCTTTTATCTCAAAAATAGAACATTTCTTAAGATACTATAAGTGGTCATATAGGTAATATGACGTACATTGAAAGGTTTATTCGCTAAACACTGACATGTGTGAATTGTAAACAAAGTTGAGCTAAGTCAAGATGTGACTATAGCAGACATATTTTGCAACTCCATGTACACTTCAGTACAATTTAATATTAAGTCAATAGCCTTTATAGCGCTCTTATATTTTTACATTTAGAGAAATATGTTGGATAAATTAATCATCCTTTTTTTTCTGTATAATTAAAACATTTATAGGTAAATAACTATAAATTGATAGTGGTCAGAGATTGGTTCTCACCTTGATGAAAAGGGTGCCCTGTGGCTCCAGCTGTAGACACAGTTGCTGCTTCCGGTTCACCAGGAATTCTTCCAACTTCAGCGTCTTTGTGGCACACAGTGATCTCCGATCGTGCCAATATAAAGATAATTCTAACTCCCGAGACTATGTACACATTAACAAAAAAAGGAAAGAAAAGTTATCATCTATATCCCTGATTCTATTAAAAAATATATTTATTTCTAAATTAAGATAAACAAACCCAATGTATAATAACTCTCTAAATCATAACTGGATGAAGACACATTAAGGTCCTAAAAGGTTTAGAAAAAGAGTTCCAGTTATACTGACTTAGACAACTCTTTACAGGATATGCAGATTTATGGATTAGTATAAATTCTTCCTGGGGCCACCGATGGATGTTGATTTAGAATGTAATATTCCTACTAACACAAAATAAAAACAATAATACAGGCATCCACTTAGCCTGAAAACTATCACCAAGACAATGTTTTTTGGGGTTTTGTTTTCTATTTTTCACTTAAGTCAATATTTCTGAAAAAAAATGTCTCATTCTAGGGTGAATATACTTGAGTTTAATGACATTCATACCTTATTTAACTCCAGTTTAAATGTCTCATTCCAGGATGGATTAGACACAGTTTTCCAACTGGTTGAACCCACTGGAATATGGTCAATCTTCAGCTGAGCACGGACCTCGTCTGTAAGGAAATTTCAGGAACTCAACTTAAAAGGCTAAGAGTATTTTATTATAAAGAACATTTCTTATTGAGAATGTAATCAACACACAGCAATTGTAAAAATACACCTGGCAATATAAAGTTATTATCTTTAACCAAAGCTCTAGGAGTTTGATTTTATTTCGGGAGTCTATTCTCCTGCACTCCATAAAAAAGAAATTAAACAAACAACACATTTGTAGCTGGCCAGGTGATATGGTTGGAATATAAACAAGGGGAGATATGTGAAATAAAATAATACAAGAACATCGTAACGAAAAACATGTTGAAAATTATATTTTTTCTATTTGGTGAGTAAGGTAGAGGATGAAGTTTGTATGATGAGTCCCAGTATAAATGTATTAAAGTAATTATTATTATCATTTATATTTTCCGCAGCACTTTTAAATTTTTTTAATTGGGGGTCAACCTGCAACCACCCAGTACCGAGATATAATTATTCAGGTTGATTTTCCTTTGAGTGGCTAAGTGGAAGAGCAAAAGTTTGATACCCCAGATATTGAGTGCTGTTATTGAGCGTCACTGGACATATAATGGGAATTATAAGATAAAAATCACTGTACTGGAAAAGCCAACAGTCTCTTGGGTGTTCTGACTGCAGACACGGTTGTTTCTTCTGATCCGGCTCATTAATGAGAATCTTCCTCGACGTGTCCTCCTTCCTGGGAGAACAACTGACGGGTCTTTTAGTCTGCCAGGTACATTCTCCAGAATATTGTGACAGCCCTTTACTTTCACTTTCAGGGTACCTGTCAAACAATCAGAATTAATATTGTAACAATGACTATTACATTTTCACTTGTGTCATCACAGGAATATATTAACTCTCCTCTCACCAAATGTTCACTCAATACATTTCCTACAATAATCAAATATCAGATTCCCAAATGGATTCCACCACCAATTTATCAACTCAACAAAGAAATAGACCTTCAGCAACCATGAAATATGGCTCTTATGTTAAAGGGAACTTCATGGCTGGTCTAAGTAGGAAACACAGAATATTCAATAATAAGGCAGCTTTTACATCCTTATCGGATATAAACCAATCAAAACAGAATTTATAAACAGATAAAAACTCAGTAGCTTCACTTAGTCCCTGCTCGATCCTCAAAGAATGTTTATGTCACTTGTGCCATTATAGAAGAAATCTATATTTGTAGATATTTCTAAACACACACAGGAGTAATTCAGAACAGAATGCAACAAGTCCACGCTATACAAGTTGAAACCACAAGGAACCCACTTCTGGATTAACCTTTACACTTAAGAGGACACAAAGATTACGCCAAAAAAGTAAAACAGAATTCATGAGAATAATTTAGACGATAAAAGAAAAGAAAAAGGAAGGGACTGGAATGGAGCCAGAAGTTGCAGAACCTCCTGATTTGGGGGTTAACCCCGGTATAAATGTACACAAAGAAAAGATGGAGGATGCAACTAGGTGCATATATGACTGAAATACAGTTCAGGGAAATATTAGTTTGTTAAAACTTAACATTTAATAGATTGGCCAAAAAGTCCAATTGGTGGACTATGAAGAACAAAATAACCCACAAAAAATGTATAAAAATAGTGCTATACAAAGAAAAAAAAACGACACACAAAGATAAATATAAATAAGTGTAATGGCTAAAAAAGCGCACTAGACTGGAACCTTAATGCTTTCTCGTAAAGATACGGGATCTGGAAAACATAGGTAGAAGGTGTCAGAGCTCTATATCTATGGTAACTATTTATATTAATATATTATATATTATATATTTAAATATACTGATGACAGATTATGTGTGTGCTGGTTCCATATTGTTGTCATGTAAAAAAATGGCACCTGTCACCTTTAAATTTGTATTTACGTCATACAGAATTAAGTCTGCTGGAATATCGGTTGACTAACTGCGTGATCACAGTAGACAGACTTCACAGATGGAAGCATGCTCTGATACTTCAATGTTAAATATATTTGTCTTCTTTCCTTTATTGAAATATCTTTCAGAGGCAAAAGAACTTACCCGTTAGTGCAGTGGGCTTGGATATGTCAGAATTGAGGAACAATTCCTCGGTGGTAATACTCTTCCTGGGATGGCTATCAGGAAGTTCTTTCACTAGTTCCTCCATGGAATATTTAAGGAGGTCCAGCTTTTCATTTGCCTGGTTTAATATTGATTGAGCCTGTTAAAAAAGAAATGGAAAAAGAGTGTGGGCAATACTTGCATTGCATTTATAAAAGGTTATAATTCTGTATAGTGCTCAATGTATAACAACTCAGGATTAATCACTAAAGTCTAGAAAGTAGCAAATCAAAATCTGAACCGCAAATATTTAAACAAAAATTAGTGATTTGGAGAAATTCCAATCTTGGCTTTAGTCACAGTGTGTCTATGTTTATCTCAGTTTTGTAATTCAGATTTTAATTCCCTACAAGTCAGAGTTTATTGGAGCGACCGCATTTTAGTAGAAAGTGGCTCTGATGAGGCTAGGAAGCGGGCATAGGTGGAGCAGTAACAAGATTGGTAGATTGGGTCTAAGGGTGGGAGCATATATATAGACGGGCAGCCATCTTAGGAATAGGCAATTTTAATGTATGCACCAACGTGTGAGTACGGTTTGTCACTCTGGTGTGTTCAGACTCTGTTTGGTGGGTTTCCCCTTTTTTCTTTTGCATGATGGTGTCCCTGGAGGAGATGATCCACGGTGTTCATGCAGGTGCACGGATCCGTGGAGAAGATTGGATCTGGGAGAGGCTGGGAGCGATGTTGGTGGCGTTGGCGGAGCCGGAAGGTTGGCTGGGGGACAGGCACACACGTGCGCCTTAGCCCTGGTGGGGCCTCCCCTGTGGTGGGAGCGGGCAATGGAGGGTGCGCAGTGAGACGGGTGCATCAGAGCAGGCGGAGGTTATCTCACAGTCAGAGTTGCAGCCTCAGGGGTCAGATCAGCGGGGCCTCCGCACTCTAGGTGATCGGAGGAGCCTAGGGAAGAGATGGGATGCTTGGAAGTCATGCAAGCAGCCCCGGGATTGCGGTGCAAGGGTTGTGGATGAACGGTGCACCCTGCCCAGGAATTTTTGTTCTCGTTCTAGGTCACTGAGTGGATCATCTTCCAGGTGGTCTCCCCAGTTGGTCCGAAGAGCATGGTGGCATCCTGTTCCTGTTCCGGTGGGATCCGAGGAGCAGCTATGGGGTCTTCAACGAAAGCGGGCTTGGATGGTGAGTCTACCCTTGCACCACACTCACAGATATTGCTTGACAAGTTAAAGCAACTGATAGATTCTTGTAGTGGGGGTGACTCTAGGGGTCCATTGGGGCTTCGGAGGATGCGGTCACGAGTCTTGGGCCCATTGCCACTGGGCACAATGCCGGTGAGGCTAGAAGAGATGTTACCATGGTTAAGCCGTTACGGTAGCAAGGGGGATGTGTATTTGGTGAGGTACGGTTTCTTAAATGTTTTTTTCTATCCCTTTCCAAGACAGGGAAGGGAGTGGGGGGTTGCATAATTTGAAGTCGGCATTGAAACTTCCCTGGGTGGTGCTGGACAATTTGATGAAGGAGGGGCAGTTGGGTAGGATGACCCCTCGCTGGACGGACTGTGGATCTCCCCTCTTAATATTGTGCCCAAAAAAGAACCAGGGAAGTACCAGATGATCCATCACCTGTCCATACCCACAGGGGTCGCCAGTTAATGACGACATAGATAGGGTGCTGTGTTTGGTCTCCTATGCATCATTTGACCAGGTAGGCAGGTTGGTAGGCGACTGCCGGACATCACGCCCGTATGGCAAAGGTGGATGTGGAAGCTGCATTTCGACTGCTGCCGGTTCATCCGGATTGTCATCCCTTGCTGGGCTGCAGTTTTCACGGTCAGTTCTTCGTGGACCAATGTCTCCCGATAGGTTGTTCTATCTTGTGCTCCTACTTCGAGTTCAGCACTTTTTTGGAGTGGGTGGTGCGGCAGGAAGCGGGGAGTCGAGCGGTGGTCCATTATTTAAACGTCTTTTTGTGCATGGGTCCTGGGAACTCTTCATTGTGCCTGCATTTGTTGCGTACCCTTCAGTGGGTGGCCAGATTGTTTGGGTTCCCTTTGACGGCGGATAAGACGAAAGGCCCCATGGACTGTATTTGCTTCCTGGGGCTGGAAATCTATTTGGCAAAGGGTGAATGTCGGTTGCCCGGGGACAAGCTCGAGGGACTTAGGGCTGCAGTGAGGGAAGTGCGTCAGGCCAAGAAGGTCATGCTTCGGGCATTGCAATCACTGCTCGGCAAGCTCAACTTTGCTTGCCGGGTGATTCCCACTGGGCTGGTTTTCAGTAGCGGCCTGGCTCTGGTTTTCAGTAGGGGGCTGGCTCGGGCTACGGCAGTAGTGATGTCACTGCATCACTTTGTATGGGTGACGACGACCATTAAGGAGGATTTGGCAGTTTGGGACGTGTTTCTACGGGACTTTAATGGCACTGTGTTGTTTCGGGAACTGGTGAAATTGGCGGCTGACTTGGAGTTGTTTACAGATGCCTCAGGGAGCCTGGGCTTTAGTGCATACTTCGGGGGTAGGTGGTGCGCAGCGTCATGGCTGACGTTGTGGATGGAAAGACCGCTCATGTGCAACTTGGCCTTTCTTGAACTCTTCCCATTAGTGGTAGCTCTATCGCTCTGGGGGCCTCTGCTCAAGGACAAGAAGGTCATGTTTCACATGGACAATAATGGCCGTGGTGTACGCAGTCAACAACCTGTCGGCATCCTCGGAGCTGGTGGTACGCCTTCTGCAGTGGCTCATTTTTCTGTGTATGTCTCTCAATATTGTTTTTGGCACGTGGCACGTTCCAGGTTATTTGAACAATGTGGCTTATGCACTCTCATTCACAGTGGTCCCGGGCACTGGGTGCACAGGAGGTCAGGGAATTATAAGATGTAGTTTCTCCGGACAGCTTGCTTGGGGGATTCGTGAGGTCGCCCTTGGCCCCGGGAATGCGGTCTGCTTATTGTAAGGTTTGGGGGTCGTGGGAGAGGTCGTTGGGCAAGAGTAAGGGGTCTTCTTTGGAGGGATCACATTTGGACGCACTATTATGGTTTACGTTCCATTTGCTGAGGAAGGGCTCATTGCCTGCGGTTGTGGACAGGCACATGGCATTCAGGTTTAAGTTACATGGGTGGGGGGACCTGACGATACACTTCCTTATTAGACAGGCGCTGAAGGGCCTCCGCAGGGGTTGGAGGGTGCCAGATGCACGTAGACCAGTGTCCGTTTGCCTTTTGGGAGGGCTGGTTAAGGTTTTGCCTGAGTTTTGCTTTAGCAACTATGAAGCACTGCTATTTGGGGTAGAGTTTCACCTAGTGTTTTTTGGGGCATTTCGGGTGAGTGAGCTCGTCAGTGAAGCGACGTTTCGGTAGTTGGGGATAAGGTGATCGTTCCTTTGGCCCATTTGAAAACAGAAGTGTGTGGAAAGGGTACGAATATAAAATTGCACAATTTCCCGGGATCCCTCTTCTGCCCAGTTGGAGGTGGAAAGATACTTGGGGAAGCGTCCGACAGGGGGGTTCCTTTTTGGTCTACATGGACAGATAATCGCTTTCTAGGTTCCAGTGTTTCCGGGTTTTTTAGCTGGGTTTAAGTGTCTTAGGGTTGTACCCGGAACAGTTTGGAATGCACTTGTTCCATATTGGAGCAGATACGGAGGTGATTCAGTTGGTTTGGTGAGGAATTGGTTAAGAGGATAGGCAGGTGGGAATCAGTGCGGTTTCGCTCCTACGTTCGCCTGGGTAAGTTGGTGTGATGGGGCAAGGGGTGCTGGTTCTTGGGTGTGATGCTGAATTTGCATTCTTCTTTCCCTAGGTCATGTAGTATGGACCATTGGGCACTCATACATCTTCTGGGCTAAAAAGAGAGCTTCAGTTCATTTTAAGGGTCAGCAGCTGGGCTTTCCTGAGGACCAGTTGGTGTTAAAATGGAGTGGTTACTGAGGGTTCGGATGGAGATCGGTGTTTCGTTTAGTGCAGGGAGGTAGATGGCCTGATTTTATTGTCTTCCATACAGAGGGTAATGATTCCACAGAGGGACCTGGTTAGATGGATGAAGCAGGATATCAACGGGATTAGGAATGTGGTACCAGGGGTCATGGTCAACTGGTCAGAGATTGTACCGTGACTTCGATGGTGGCATGCGAGGAATGCAGCGCGATTGATCACTGTCGATGTAAGGTGAACAGTTTAATGGCTAGCTTTATTCTGAAGCTGGAGGGGTTGTGGTCAGGCACAGGGAACTGGAGAATAGATTGGCTGGGTATTTCCGACAAGACAACATGCACCTTTCAGAGATGGGTTGGGATTTGTTGAATCTGGGGTTTCAAGAAGGGCTTAGCCAGGCGCTGTTTTAGCAGGGTGGCGGAGCTCAGAAGTCTTAAGGGGTCAAGGTCTGAGCTTGTGGCGGGGCTAGTAAAGGGAAGAAAATGGGGGGATAGGGATTTTGGAGTTAGAAAGGAGCAAGGGGTAGGTAAAAAGAAATGGTGAAATTGAATTGGAGTTATAAGTTGGTTATGGTGTTGGGAGATTTCGGATCCGTAGGTGGCTCAGAACCTTGGAGGAGTGGGGGTATCAGATATACCCTCACCAGTGGGCTGTTAAGAAAATGTTGGCATTGTATTGGTTATGTGTTATATATTATTATATATTATTATATGTTATTTATGGTTAGTCATTGCCCTATTTATTATTAGATCTGCTAAATTATAAGACGGCAATAGGTGGAGGGCAATGACTTTTATTTATTATTATATGTTAAATAAAAGCTGTGGACAATTTTCCCCATACACAGACATGTTGTGTTTTATTAAAGAGGATGGGGATGGTTTGATAGGTACAGATTCACCTGCCCATATGGCGACACTGCATCTGTCATTAAAAAAAACCTGTAAATAACTTAAATGCAGAATGTGTGTATGTATTTTTCTATAGATTAAAGTGGGCAGATCAATGCAGAACAGACATGTTTTTGGCTTTTAATAAAACTAAAGGGAATTAAACAATTGGGAGAATTTTAAAGGGACACTATAAGCGCACAGACCACTTTAGCTCATTGAAGAGGTGTGGGTGCAGGGTCCCTGTCCTTCTTAGTCATCTTAGTCCTGCAATGTAAATCATTGCAGTTTTTGAGAAACAGCAATGATTACATTACAGGACTAAGACTACCTCAATCAGACAGCCAGTAGAGACTTTTGATTAAAGCGACATTTGTAGTCTGATGCTGGACGCCCTCACGTTCTGTACGCTCTGCACTGAAGCAATGCTTTTCCTATGGGGAGGGCCTAATTCACTTGCGGTGCTCGCCATGCATGCGCAGTAGCCACCCCTCCAGATATGGGGTAAGTGTTAAAAGGGATTTTGTAACACGGGAAGGAGAAAGGGCGTGAGGTAGGAGGCGGCCAGTGGGAACTAGAGTGTATGGAATACAACTTTGTTTGCCTTACACTATAGATTCCCTTTAAATAAAGCATTATAGAGACAGAATAAAATACAGAACAAATGGCCCCACAAAGACTTCAAACAATGAAAGTCTTAGAAAAGATAATATAAATGTGTCATTTGTATATTATTTATCAAGCAGAATTTGTTGGCGCTTTATAAATAATAATAATAATAATAATAATAATAATAATAATAATAATAAACCATGGCTACTTGGCTAATGCCAACAAACCCCCAGACAGACATTGAAAGCCCATTCTTCATTCATGGGATAAAATGGCTAAAAGAATAAACTTTATAACTGACCTCAACAAGTGGCTTTCCATGATCTAATGCCTTGATGGCACGTTTGGCTCCTTCAGCCACGGCACGCTCGATCACAAAACGGTGGCCCAGCTCCTCAATGCGTTTCTCCAATGTGCTTATAGCAGGTGTTGCTAGGAGACAAATTACTATATTTTATTATATTAATGGTAAAAAGGAAATTGACACCCATTGTGGAATAACTCATCTCATAAGGTTTCACTCAAACATTATTGAAAAATAATGTAAGAAATAACAAATGAATCATAGATGCTTTCCCTCTGTATCTTACCTTTTCCTGTTTTTTTCAAGTGTGGTGTGGTCCCTTAATGATGTGTAATCTGGTAACTTTAATGGGATATGTGATATGGTTACACATTTACATATGTACTTAAATGTGTTAGTGGTATCCACATAAGTCCATCCTTGCAAGCACGCTGTCTTGGTGTCATACTTGATTCTGGCCTCGCCTTTGAATCTCACATATAGTGTGTTGCCAAATCCTGTAGATTCCATCTTACAAACATAGCCCGCATCCGCCCCTTTCTTACGCAAGATGCTACCAAGGAGCTTGTCCATGCTCTAGTAATTTCCTGCATGGATTATTGTAACCCTCTCCTGATTGGTCTACCTTACATACCTATCTATTGCTTTCTCATATAGGGCAGCACTCTACTCTCTGCTTCACTCCCACCTTATTTGGTTGCTATTTCCTGTCCTAATGTGTTTTATACCCCACATCCTATATATAGACTGTAAGCTCGTTTGAGCAGGGTCCTCTTCAACCTATTGTTCCTGTAAATGTTCTTGAAATTGTCTTATTTATGGTTAAATCCCCCCTCTCATAATATTGTAAAGCGCTATAGAATATATTGGCATCATATAAATGGTAATAATAATAATAATAGCACACACGCAAAGTGTTTTAATGTACCTGGATGTTCCCCTGCTCGTTGCTCGATAACATCGATAACTTTTGTTTCGCTGACCTGAAAAGGCAGAAATAAAAAGAATCAGAAACCCATATGCTCTTTGCCAGAAGAAAAGGCTCACAACGTGTTCGTGTCTCAGTGTGTGCTGTCCCTACTAACACCTTGCACCCAGTTATTATGTGCTGGATGGTATGGGAGGAGTCTGGGGTCGGCACCCTGGGTCCTGTCTGCTATGGTTGACCCCGCTTCTATTGATCTGGTGCTGAGTGTCTGTTCCTGTGTCTCAGTGCTGTCTTTCATTCCTGATATACTTATTATATACATATACAGGATATATGTTTGTGTAATCCTCCTAATAACAAAACTCTATAATACTTCCACATGACATACCAGTAACTGAAATGAATAAAGGGCAAGGAGTTCATACCACGAAAACTGATACAGTAACCATAGGCTGTCACTGTGTTTGGGACATTAAATACTGAGTCATGAAAGGGTTAAATATTGAGGAAAGAATAAAATGATAGATCTGTGTGTAACCCCCCAGTGTTTCCCATTAATAATCATATAAAGGGTCCCATCTGTATTCTCTTTCTCCCCCATCCTAGACTACACTGGGGATTTAACATGATAAAACTCTCAGATAATAATATGTAGAACTGGAACCTTATACAGAAAATCAAGTCTTTTACTTACATCACAGCGTACACATGAAAAACACGAGAAAATAGTTCTACTATCTCCCATATTTAGCTACGTTATCACCACAGCAGCTAAGCAGTGTCTACTGTCTAAGCAGTGTCTACTGACTGAACTGTGCTCAGCAAGGATGATGTCACAGTGATGTCACAGGGAACAATCAGACTATCTATAGCTATCTCTGCCTTGCAGTGTCTACTGACTGAACTGTACTCAGCAAGGATGATGTCACAGTGATGTCACAGGGAACAATCACACTATCTATAGCTATCTCTGCCTTGCAATGTCTACTGACTGAACTGTGCTCAGCAAGGATGATGTCACAGTGATGTCACAGGGAACAATCACACTATCTATAGCTATCTCTGCCTTGCAATATCTACTGACTGAACTGTACTCAGCAAGGATGATGTCACAGTGATGTCACAGGGAACAATCAGACTATCTATAGCTATCTCTGCCTTGCAATGTCTACTGACTGAACTGTACTCAGCAAGGATGATGTCACAGTGATGTCACGGAACAATCACACTATCTATAGCTATCTCTGCCTTGCAATGTCTACTGACTGAACTGTACTCAGCAAGGATGATGTCACAGTGATGTCACAAGCAACAATCAGAATTTGACACATCACAGGTCCACCCATCATAATAAAAAATAAATCCATCTATTTTTCTATCTCTATCTATCTATATACACACACACACATATATAGTTAGAGAGAGAGAGAAAGATATTTATTTAATAACATTATTATTATTATTATTTCAATCTGTTTGCTTACCTACTATTCTAATTATCCAAATGAAAGTGAAAAAGTGAAAATTGATCCAAATGAAGATTTTTTTATTGTTTATTTTTTCATTTAGAAAAAGGCTATTAGTACAGATTTTAACAGGAACTGGATAGAAAAAGATATTTTTTTTAACATTACAAATAATAGAGAATTAGTTATTGAAGTAATAAGCCAGGAATAACTATATGTTTTTATTTTAATAAACTACGTTATAAAATAAGGATTGATCCCTTAATTAAGATAATTTCACCATTAAACCCCAAATGTGTATCAGATAAAAAATGTAAAAACTAATTTTGTAAAATGCTATAGAAGGGACCGATCTAATGAATATATTGTAAGTGTAGAAATGGGAGGGACGTTGTTGTGGGTTGCATGTGGTGTAAGCTGTGAATAGGGGCTGTACATGGATAGAACCATACTAATCATTTAGATTGGGCTATCTACGTTCTCTGAATAAAAGAGCTATAATGGCTAGATCTCAGCTCAGGGACAGGGCCCTCTTTACCGTTTGCATTGCTCTGTGTATGTTGTACAGCGCTGGGGAATATGTTGGCGCCTTGTAAATGGCAGTAATAATTAATCATATATTACGTACATACTTTCTGTATATGCGGTGTCCTATTTACTTTAGGATTAATATTTCCAAAATTTGTTGTTTTATTATTATTGGATACACAGTAACAGAGGGGTTGAGGGCCCTGCTCTATGAGCTTACATGCTAGAGGGAGTGGGGTAAAAGGTAAGGATGGTGAGAGGAATCAGTCGGGAGCTATTAACATTTTAATCTTTATGGAGAAGTGGGTTTTTAATGACTATGTTTGAAGAAGTGGAGACTGGGTAAGCATCTAACGGAGGAGGGAAGTGAGTTCCACAGCCCTGGAGAAATCTTGAAATCTTGAAGGCGAGCATCAGAGGTGGGAGTACGGACAGAAGATAGACATAAGTCTTCAACAGAGCGTAAGGGTCTAGACGGGACATACTTGTGTATTAGTGAGGATAGATAGGTGGGAGCAGCATTATGTAGAGATTTGAAAGCAAGAACCAGAATTTTTGTATATCTTACAGGAAGCCAATGTAGGGACTGACAGAAGGGTGAGGTATGAGAGGTGCGGGTGGACAGGAAGATGAGCCTCGATGGAAATGACAGGATTTGGTGATAGACTGAACATGAGGCGTGAAGGAGAGGTCTGAGTCAAAGAGAACACCTAGGCAGCGAGCCTGCATGGTGGAGCTGATGGTAGCACCGTTGACTTGGAGGGAGGAAAGAATAGAATTTCAGTTTTGGTCAAGTTGAGTTTAAGGAAGTGGGCAGCCATCCAGTTATAGCAGAGAGGAAGTCAGAGACACTAGTTAAGAGGGACGGGGAGAGATCAGGAGAGGACAGGTAGATTTGCTTGTCATCCGCATAGAAATGATATTGGAAGCCAAAGGAGCTAATGAGTTTACCAAGGGAGGCAGTATAGATAGAGAACAGTAGGGAACCAAGGACTGAACCTTGGGGGACACCAACAGAGAGGAGTTGGGAAGAAGAAGCAGAGCAAGAGAAAGAAACTCTGAAAGAGCGCTGGGAGAGGTAGGAGGAGCACCAGGAGAGAGCAATATGTTATAGACCAATATTGCGGAGGATGAGAAGAAGCTGTTGATAATCAACAGTGTCAAAATCCGCAGACAGGTCAAGGAGAATTAGGATAGAGTAGTGACCATGAGATTTTGCAGCGAGTAGATCATTGGATACTTTGGTCAGTGCCGTTTCCACAGAGTGCTTAGCGCGGAAACCAGACTGGAGGGTTTTTTTTTTTGTCTGTGTCCAGCGGTTTGGTGTCCTGTGAGAGAGACTTAGATAGTCTAGATAGATTAAGGAAACATGTTGAATAAATGAGAAAGAATAGCAGCTCTTTTTTAATGCAGACTATAATGGCATTAGATATTAATAGAGTTGCTGTTTTTAAATAGCATGTGTATAAATTAATTTTCTTGTGTGTATTTGTTTTTAATATTTGTGAAAAATATTGTGAAATTAAAATTATATCACAAAAAAAATCTGATTGCCAAAGAGAATACAAAAGTCACAAATTAGAATAATCATTAGCAATGTGATTGTCAATACACCTTTGTCATAGTGTCACTTAGTTTCCGTTTTCGAGCCTGTGAGTATGTGATCTTTTCCCATTTTAGTTTGTTGGATGGAAACTTCCAGTTAATGGACCTGTGAAGAACTCTTTGATTTTGCATAAAGTATGCATAAATGAGGTGCTGTTGAGTTAATTACAAAGAACAAATCTTTTCAGATTTAGTTAGGCACAGATGGGGATTGAACCCATTATCGAAACCAACGCTTTACCACTTGGCCACTGTGCAAGAGCACTGGGAGAGGTAGGAGGAGGGTTAGGAGTAGGGTTAGGGTTAGGGTTGGATGAGAGTAGGGTTAGGTTAGGGTAGGGTTAGGGGAAGGGATAGTAGTAGGGTTAGGGTAGGGTTAGGAGTAGAGTTAGGGTACCTCTACCCCTAACCCTAACCCTACTCCTAAACCTAACCCTACCCCTAACCCTACTCTCATCCAATCCTAATCCTAACCTTAATCCTAACCCAACCCTAACCCTACTCCTACCCTAACCCTACCCCTACCCTTTAACCCTACCCATTATCCCTACCCATTAACCCTACCCCTTAACCCTACCCTACTCTTAAACCAACCCTAACGCTACCCTACCCCTAACCAACCCCTAACCCTAACCCTACCTCTAACACTACCCCTAACCCTACCCTAACCCTACCTCTACCCACTAACCTAACCCTACACTTACCCGAAGACCTGAAGTTCGAAGTGCCGAAGTCCCGAATTTGGGAATGCTGAACCGAACCGAATAATTTTCCCATGCACAGCCCTACTGTTTATGCATGTATTTTACATGTATTATCATTGATCTTGACTCCTTGCTCCCCCTTTTAGGTTGTCTACATCTCTATACTAACACTAAGAATATGTCTACAGTGTCTCCAGATCTGACTTATGGAGCTTTAGTTTATGTGTTTGTTGGTTTTATTTGATCTATTCTACGTATTACAATGGTACTTGAGGCACATAACCCATCACACTTAGCCGCTCACATGCTGTAGTGTATATTTCACCTATTTTTCACTGTTTTTACATTCTCTCGCTAAGTTTTTAGCACTCGTCTCACACACACACATCCTCTCTGCCGGCTTGTTTGCCCTTTACCCGGACATGCTTAATTTTTGTTTCCTCCGTGTATGGGTTTCGATTGTTAGACTTTATGTGTTCTATTCACTAGTTTCTCCTTACCTAGCAACCACGCCTGCTGGGAAGCATGCTGGTTTGCATAGCAACAACGTTCACTAACGAACGCTTCCTGGTGACACATGGAGTCCGACGCCTCTGGGTGGTTCAGTCTGCAGGCTGTCTTCTTACTTAATTTACAAGTTAATTTTGATATTGGCTATATATTTGTGTGGATCTTGATAAAGACCTGAATGGGTCGAAATGTCTTTTGTTTGTTTGTTTGTTTGTTTTTTTGAACAGTTGACATTGTTTTAAAAAATGTTAAATACAGATTTTTGGATTTGAAGACCTTGAAAATATCAGTGTTCCTGACACTGCAGGTTCCCATGTTGCTGAAGCGGTTAAAACCCTTTCAGTGACTTACCTGAATCCAGCGCCAATGTCCCTCGGTGCTGGGTCAGGTTTCACAATGGCCGCGCGCATTAGGACCCCCCCATAGGAAAGCATTACTCAATGCTTTCCTATGGGGATTCCGGCAATGCTGGAGGTCTTCATGCATAGCGTGAAAACGTCCAGCATCGTTTAAAACACTATTTGTGTTTTAAGAAGCCGGAAGTCCCTGTAGTGGCTGTCTGGTAGACAGCCACTAGGGGAGGATTTAACCCTGCAAGGTAATTATTGTAGTTTATAAAAACTGCAATAATTACACTTGCAGGGTTAAGGGTGATGGGAGTTGGCACCCAGACCATTTCAAAGGGCAGAAGTGGTCTGGGTGGCTTGAGTGTCCCTTTAACTAACTAAAGTCTAGTAATATACAAGAACAAAATGAATATACACAAATCAAGATTTTATATAACCCCTAAGAAAAATGGAAACCAAATTACATGCATATTTTCTTTGTGGTATATCTACAAACTGCTGTAACAGTGTGCTACTTTAAACCATTTTCTACATTTCAACTAGTTAGCAGTTAAAATAGTGGATAAAATGTTCCCTTAACCTAAACAAAATAAATCAGTTCTTAAACTATTGTTGTATCCTATCTCAATCTTGGATGTATTTGTGAGTTGAAAAATGCGTTCGGCTACAATCAGACTTACCGGAATCTGCAGCTTTGATTTCCTAAGTTACCTCAGATACTATATTCCAAGAGGAAATTATCTGCTAAAGTCTTCTCCTTCACTAGCATTTCCAAGGCCACCAGCTGTCCTGTTAACAAAACAAAATATACTGTGATCTCCAGCTACTCAGGTTTATACAGATAATAGTTTTAGAAAACCATGGCTTTCAGTTTATGGACTGTAGCAATTTCTTGAGGTGCCGAAAAACATCTGCATTGTAATTTACCGTGCTAAATGCAGAAATCCATTAGAACTAACTGTATAAAATAAAGGACTCCAGTTTTTTTAAAGGTGAGAGATGAGCATACAAGCTAATGTAACTTACCTGAATGCCTGTGATTGACGAGGAGAACCTTCCCTTAAGAACCTTTGCCCAGTTCTTAAATTGGGTCAAAGTGATCCATTACAGACATCCTCGTCATGGTCTGAGATGTCTCTCCCACCAGCTGCAGAAGATACTTTGCTGTCTCCTTGGTGACATCCAGGATTGTAGCAGCCATTCTAAAACAAAATAAAGTGATCAGTGTAATTTATATCATTAAACATTTAGTATAAATGTATTGCTGCCTCATTTAGCCTACAGGTCTTAGCATTTGGCTGAAGGTGCAGTTAATCTAAGAGTGAGCAGTCTATGCCTTCTTTGGGGGCACAAACCATGATTACTGTTCTGATAGAATAAAGGTTGTATGCAATTAGCTGTGCAGAATGGTTGGGGAGACTTACTGTCAGGGTCACCAGTGAGCTGTGCACTAATTATGGGTATTTGGGTCTGGCTAGGTTTGAATCTGGATCTCCTGCATCCCAGTCAGGCACCTTGTCCTTGAATCCACGCATCTTTAATTCCTTTTGTGTGGTTCCTGGGTTCATGCTGTCTGAATCTCTAGTTCTGGACATTTGCACACCTGTTCCTGGTTCCCTGATGATTGGCTGAGACTCCCTATTTAAACCCCGCAAGGCTGGTTCTCGTTGTCAGATTGTGTTTCCTGTTTGGTTTCACTGCTATTCATCTGACGCCTGGTTTTGATCCCCTGCTCGTCTACTGTTTTCGCCTGTCCTGACTTCTGATTCTGTTACTGACTACTCTTCTGGATATCCGTTGTCTGTACTGCGTTCCAGGAAGCATTGGTTATTTCAGCCTAGTGCACTGTGTCACAGCCTTGGGGATTTCTGTCTTGAGTCCCCTTGGCCTGTGTCAAATTGCAAAGGGCGCTTTAACTCTGCGTGCTGGACTCCCAGGTAAGATCCCTGACACTTACATTATTAAAAGATTCAATGGTAAATGTACAAACCAAAAAACATATGCACTATTAAGGCTTTTATTAAAAATAGACATTTAAAAATGTATAAAATTTAAAAAATGTTAAACTCTATGACATTTTGGGTAAATCCTTTTATTTAAATTCTTCTGATTTTAGAATACAGTATCAGAGGTGAAGGGCAAGAGCACTACAAGACAGGGTGAAGGTCGGGTGGGCTAAAATATGATCAGAGAGTTATGAGACTTTAAAATAGAGCAATGGGATTTTGGGTGCAGTGGAGGGCAAGCTTTAACCCCTTAAGGACACATGACATGTGTGACATGTCATGATTCCCTCTTATTCTAGAAGTTTGGTCCTTAAGGGGTTAATTGAAGAAACTGTGAGCTGGGGAAAAGACAGAACAAAGATTGCAGGGACAGAGGGGACATGGACAGATCTGTAAAAGAGGAATATAGAAAGTAAAACTGAGTAATGAGATTAGTGGAGAGGATGGAAGGTTTAATAAGGCAAAATATCATTAATAAATGCTAATATATACTCATTCCTAATGGATAACATGTTTTGAAAGGAAGCTTTGGAATTGGTGTCATTTAAAGAATATTTATATTTGTACATAAATTCTCGGTGCATCTTCAGCCAGTTACTTCCACAAAGCCTGAGTGAAGTCTTCTAAATGCTAAGAATCTTCTAACAGTCTAATTGCCAATCCACAACATATCCTAACCTATAAACCGACCCTATTCCCACAGTCTATTAACCCTTCATCCCATGGATACTAGACCCGGACTGAGACTACCAAACTATGAAATCCTCACCTTCTAGAGATGAGTAGAGCCAGGAATAGAATCCACACTCGCTCTGGATACAGAAAGTTACTGAGCAGAGAGGGTGGATATGGGTCTAATAAGGGGCAGCTGATTGGGTAACTTTGCATACAATAGGTTAATTACCCACCAGGGTTCCCATTTATTTACATATAAATAGAAACTTGGGAAAAATGGAAACTGAGACTCTTGGAAATAAACTGTTGCTAATTGATGTCACTGTTCTAGATTTCACAATGTTCTAATATTTACTAATTAAGTTAAAATCTATTTTAACAGAATCCTTGAAATAATGCAGGTAATATTTTAACTTTATTTTATTTTTGGACTAACATTATCTTGGAATAACAAGCTTTCAGGAGATCTTCCTGTAAATCTAAAGCATTTCTGGAGAAACTGACCCATCTCGAACCTGATCTATGACCCAGGGTTATAGCCAGATCAGATCGTACACAGGGATAAGTAGGGTAGTAGGAGGAACAAAATAACCACGTTGTTCCAGAGGGTAAAAAATATTCTGTATTATGGTCAGAGAATGAGGAGAAAATATAAATCTATATAGAGAATAGTTCTGACTCTGTAGAAGATTCAGGCATCCCCTGCTATTACCCTAGTTATCCCTGTGTACAATCTTCCACAGGGTCAGAACTATTCTCTATATAGATTTAGATTTTCTCCTCACTCTCTGATCCTTATACAGAATATCTATTTTTGACCCTCAGGAAGAACGTGCTTATTTTGTTCCTCCTATTACCCTACTTATCACTGTGTGATCTGATATTGCTTTTACTTTGTGTTGAGATGATTGAGTCATTATTATTCATCACTGCTTTAGATTTCATATAAAGTATCTCCCGGCAACACTTAATGCCAATTAATGTAAAAACGCACTTCTTCCATTGTCTATGGACATAACATGATGGTTTCTACCAGTGGATTTTAGGGCACGATGTGGGGATCTAAATGTTTCCTGGTTTTGCCCCTCTATATAATGCTGCCCCCTAACCGTCTCTCATGCCGTGCAGTGTGGATAGGGGCTTACATTGGTTCCGTATTGTGATTGCAGTGGGAGAGTATTCATACAATTACAATATATGGGCAATAATTCATGCACTGGTCAACCTTTCTACCATGTGATGGCTGCTCATTGCAATGACAGTGATGGCAAGAAGAAGCCATGAAGGAATTCAGAAACTGGAGAAGATAAAGGAAATCAGTGGATTGATTAAAATTTGGCTAAAATGTCAAAGGGGATTTTTTTTAGTTTTTAAAGTATTGTTTTCAGAGTATTCTTGGCACTGTATTATATCCTATTTATTTTGAACAGAAAATCCAAATTTGAGAAAAGAGAATTTTTTTATTTTTGAAAGTTATGTATATCAAACCTTCTAAAAGCTTTCTATTCAGTAATCACAGTAATTGCACACCTCGGTATTAATCAAGGCTTAGTATTGTCAATCTTCTAATATACATACATTCACAGACTACTATATTAAGTTACTGTCTCCTTTTAGTCTTAGCAGTCAGCAATTTCTATGTAAATGCAGGATTTGGGTGTCTTAATGAATTTGAGTTTAGAGTACGAAAGTCACCTTATTGTGAAATGATTTCCCACCTACAATAACAATGTCAGTCTGCATCCATCAGGGGGCAGAACTGAATAATGAAATATTTAATGCACTTTAAAATATCTGTTGTAGGTGTTTATATTTGTAATATGAATATTATAATTCTTTATATTTTATTTCAGACTTCTTTTAGACACAGGAACTGAGAGGCCCTACCTATGTATCTATTATTACAGACTTCCATTGTATATCAATGGTTCTAGTTCAGATAGATTGATGAAGGCCTGTTGATATTAACCTTTAGTTAACTAAAGAATATATAGTTATAAACATTCCATTCTGCAGGTGGAATTAAGAATAACTATATATTAATGTGATAGTATCACGTGTTAGCATACAGCTGTTTTTATCCAGGTGTATTGATTTGCTCTAAAATAAGATAAGATATCTTTTTAGGCAAATTAAAATTTGGCTTATAGAATCTGGTAGATTATTCTTATTGGATGGTTCCAGGAAATGACTAATTAGCTGGTTTAAATGTTATTTTAATTGAAAATCACTGGAGAATACAATACTATATGCCTAGGAGGATCTAGCCAGCATTGAAAGGGTTATTCAGTTGACTTAACTGTTAGCCAAGGTTTTATGGCTCTTCGCTGTGAAAAGCTTTACTTTCTGTGTCTGCAAAATACCTCATAAATCTTAAGTGACAGCTGGTGTTGTTAGCCTTTGGAACATGTATAGCTATTCCATTGTATTGCATATTTATGTTGTACTAAATATTCACTGATTATTATCATGCATGTTGCCTAATATTATTCTTAATTATTGGTCATAATAAATAAATCTATTTTTATAACACATTGTGATCATTAATTGTATGGAATACTTTTCACTTACAAGATAAACGATCTCTAAGATCTAAGAGAATTGAAATAGTGGTCAATTCTCGACTGCTTAATATTATCATCCCATAAATATCCCCACAGGACTATAGATCCCATCATTGGGTCGTTTAACAAAATCGACCAATGCTTTTCTAAACTTTTTGAATTTCTCTGTGATGGGTGTTATATTGTGTTAAGAAAGCACATCTAAATGTGTCTTCACTTGCTACTTTTTTAGTAATTAAAAGGAATTCATTCCTTTCTTTCTGAAATATAACCCTAATTTCTTTTTCTATGTGGTTTTATTGTAACCTCTCTGTATGAGTTTTCCTTTAATATGATTTGCTTGAATTTTAAAATCTGACATCATAGAGCAGTTTCGTTTCACTCTAGTTAGCTGACTTTTAGCTATTCCGTTTAACCACGGGCGGTGGTGACAGCTTTTTTTATTAACATAGCTGTTACCGTCCGTGGGTTTGAAATAGCATTTTGTCCTAATATCTGCATTCTCTTGAAATATAGTGAGATCCAAAAAGTTTATATTATGTTTACTCCACATGGTGGTGAATTTTAAGTTAAAATTATTATGATTCAGATATTGCACAAAGCCATGAAATGATGCTTTATCATCGTTCCAGATTATGATAATGTCATCGATGTATCGCCGCCAGAGGCCCAGGGATGCCCGCCAGTCATGCCCCCCCACACACAGAGAGATCTTCCCATCTCATTATGTAGATGTTGGCATAACTGGGGGCAAACCTGGTCCCCATGGCTGTCCCCCTCACTTGTAGATAAAAATTTCCATGAAAATAAAAATAATTATTGTTCTAAAATAAATCTCACTCCCGTAAGAATTAATTTTTTAAGAGAGGGCGTAATAGCATTATCTTTATCCATAACATTTTCTATAGCTTCTAGGCCTGATTCATGGCTGATGACCGTGTACAATGATCTAAGGTGGCCCAGCTGTACCCTTCTTGCCACTCAATGTTTTCCATCTCTTGGATCAAGGATTTTGTACCTTTGACATAGGAACGGGCCTGTTGTGAATATTTTTGTAGGTGGAAATCGATAAAAGCTGAGAGATTAGCGGTAATTGAATTAATGCCGCTAATGATGGGGCGACCAGTGGGAAATAAAAGATTTTTATGCAGCTTCAGCTTTGTAGAGATAATACCTTTTTTCTATTGCCTGTGTTAAAAACCCCTTCAATACCTCATTAAAATGTTCTGTTGGGTCTTTGTTTAGCACCTTATATGTAACCGAATATTAGATGATTCTTTCATGTAATATTATTTTGTCATTATTACAACACCCCCTCCTTTGTCTGCTTCTTTGAAGACAATGTCTTCTCTCTCTTTCTATTCTAGTTAAGTTGTATTTTCTCTTTCTCTTATCTATATCTCTGAAATCATTCTCTACCATTTTTTTTTTTTAATATTTCCAGATATGGCCCTTTGCTAAATGTGGGATAAATATGTGACTTCCTTTTAAACTGATCTATGATGTATGTTCTAAATCCCCTGGGTTTGGTATATTAGTTATGGGATCTTTGACAACATGTCTCTTAACTGTCAGATTCCTGATAATTTTTTTAAGGTCAATATATAAATTGAAATCATTAATATCCCAATTAGGGGCAAATTTTAAGCCTTTGGCTAATACATTAATTTCTAAATCTGTTAGTGAGATCCCTGATATATTGAAAATGCCCTTTCCAGTTTCTTTTATGGGTAGGAGCTCTCTCTTCCTCATTCCTCCTTCCGTTCTCATCCTTTTTGGTTGGAGTTTCCACTCTCAAAGAGGCAAAGCGATTCTGATGTTCCCAATGATCTTTTCTCGGGTGAATATAATTCATTATAGTTTTTTCTCCAACAGCATTTCTTTTGTCTAAAAAATTACTTGCACTATCTCTATGGTTTTCTTTCCCTATATAAAGGTCCGACCCTGCTGCTTCGGCATAACTTTTTTGGCCGTGGTCATTTTGATGTTCATCATATTTTTTTAAATCATGTCCTCTTTCCCTATAGTTTCTTTGAGTGTTTATTCCTTCCCCCCTTGTTGTTTTTGGTCTCACTCCCTCCTCTCTAGTTGACCTAAAACCTGAATTTTTATGATAAATGTACTGTAGTCGAGGTGGAGTTTCTCATTTCTTATTTCTATTGTGTATGGGAGTTCTAAATTGTTGTTTTCTAGGGGAGATCCCTCTTTTTCTTTTTAATCTGTTTTGTGTAGAAAACCTATTTAATTTCTTATCCTCATTATCTCGTACATATTTTTTACTTTTGATGTTAGAGATTTTTTCATCTAGGGTCTTTAATCTTTCCTGCATATGGCTCTTTTTCTTTAAATTCTTGATTGTTTACATCAGCCCCATTTTTCTCCTCCAACTCATTCAGCTCCCCTTCATAAACATGTTTAACCCCTTAAGGACACATGACATGTGTGACATGTCATGATTCCCTTTTATTCCAGAAGTTTGGTCCTTAAGGGGTTAAGTTCTTTTGAATATTCTACTATTAACCTCATTAATTGAATAGAACAATTTATTAGAATTTCATCCCATTTCTCTAAAACTCTTTCATTGTCCAAGCCAAAGGCGGGGACCTTTTCAATACGCAGGCCTCTAGGTATCAGACCCTATTTTATGTA